GGAGGTGAGAACTGTGTCAAGATTGCATCGAGAGCTTGCATGAAAGCTCCAAACTCTGGCACGTGCATACCCTGATGTGCCGATACGCTAGCATTCTCGGATGGCATCAGATGCTCATTATTCTCTTCATAGCTTTCGTTACCCAATCCTTCTCTATTTTCTCGTTCGATCGCTTTTCGCGAGTTTGAAGATTCCGACATCTACTAGGACATATATAATAATAACACTGAATTAGAAATGAGTGACATCAATCACACTCTAATGACACCATATCGATAACATTGACAATCTTATTGATATCTAACCCTTTTTAAAGTCAAATAAACCCGGTTTTGGCTGAGAATTGGCTAAACCTGTAGCTCTGATACCAATAAATATAACACCTATTTCCCGTATACGTTTCTATACACAAGTCATTGGTGTCACGTGACATTTAAAAACATTTACTTATTTGTAAAACCCATAAAATTTTGTTTCGGAAATAAAACAAAACATTTTAGTACAATAATAAAACATTCATTTAAATATATTACAAAAATTATAACTTTAATACGTTCCAGAGCATTTTCTTAAGTTCATATACATGTCATCTAATTATCAAAAAGAGACATAATTGTCCTACAGTTACTGATGAGTCAAACTTGGATTGATAATCTCTGCAACACTCCTTACTCTGCTAGTCTTTGCTTTTACCTACGCGTGAATCAATACACGCTAAGTATTTACTTAGTGAGACATAATAATGTAAAAGAAACTGCAATTCATACACAAGTATATCATGACTATCAATATCCGAAATAATTCGCATATTTCATGAGAATCATTAAAAACCATTTCAGTTAAACCAAGTTTCTTTCCTATAGTCCTCAAAATTATTCTTAGTATGCCCAGCATACTTATCTTTTTGTATATTTTTCCAAATTATCCGTTATTTTGCCCAATGTATGTCAAATGAAAATGTAAGGTACATGCACAACACCAAAGTGTCGAAATGATCATTCACCTTTTATGAATACCATGAGTGGTACATTTTATGCCAAAAATGCACTGTTATGCATTTAACTTTCATTAGTGGCACTTTTTATGCCAAAATGGATCGTTTTGCATTTAACTTTCATTTGTGGCACCTTTTATGCTGAAATGCTCCGTTATACATTTAACTTTCATTTGTGGCACATTTTATGCCGAAATACACCATTATGCATTAACTTTCATTTGTGGTATCTTTTATGCCGAAATGCACCGTTATGCATTTAACTTTCATTTCAGAGTATTTCATACTCTAAAACTTATTCATACTATCATTCTCATACACGTTATGAAAATAATACCAAAATGTTGTAAAACATACATTTAACAAAACATTTGAGGTTGACTCATCGTGAGTCTTCCTCCTTTTATACAAGTACTATAGATGCACTCACCTGATAAGCCTCACTATAGATGTCCGACTATTTGACAACTTTATCTTTTCCCTTTTTCTTGCTAGACTCAGGAGCTTGGTTATGATCTACACAAGCATCCATTAAGTACACATACCATACCAATGTTAGTATACTCTCTAGCATTTATACTTTTAATAATACTCAAAAGTACTATTATATTCAATTTCTATCAAAATTCCTCCTATCTTAAATTTTTTTCAGACTTAATAGTATCAGTACGTCTACCATAGTATCGATACTTCTATACTATGGTACTTATACTCCCTTTTCAGTATTGATACAATTTCTACATTCCGGAATCCATGGTATCGATACTGTCATCTTAGTATCGATACCCACATCAATATCGATACTAATTACATCAATATCGATATTGTTCATCATACTTCCCCATTTTTAAACATATAGTATCAGTATTGTTCTTCCAGTATCGATAACCTTACCCAGATTTTCCATTTTTAAACTCGATTTTTGCCCAAATTTCGTTTAAATCTCTTATTTGAATAATTAGGTATATGGAATCTAATGGCTATAAGACAACTCTTGTCTATAGTTTGAGGAATAATTCTAGAATCCAATTGAATCTAAGATATGAAAGATTGGTTTACTTTATGTAAGAAACACATGTATATGGGATATTAGATATTGACTAGTTATATACGAACTCAAAATAGATCTAATCCAACCCACTACTGTGGAGTTAGATAGGGATTCCAATAGAAGAATAGAAGTCATTCTGTTTCATCTTTGACTCTAAATTGAATGAATAAAGTGATAAAATAAAGACAAAAATGAAGAATTCAAAGTAAGGAATGGGTTGGAAAAAGAAAGGAAATGGAAGAACAAAGTATGCGCGGATTCACAAAAATCCAAGGGATATCCAGCGGATAGGAACTAAAAAAAGATATCGAAATAGTTCTGATGGTTCAATAATCTTCAATCTTCTCACTTCAATTCGGAGTTCTTAGTTACTTCGGCAGGTTGAATCTTAGAAATGGAATAATATAATTAAGTCAAAATTCATTGGATGATTGTATCATTAACCATTTCTTTATTTTGGTGCGAGGAACTTATCATGAATCCACTGATTTCTGTCGCTTTCGTTATTACTGCTGGGTTGGCTGTCGGGTTTACTTCTATTGGATTTGGAGTTGGTCAAGGTACTGCTGCGGGCCAAGCTGTAGAAGGTATCATGAGACAACTCAAGGCAGAGGGAAAAATACGAGGTACTTTATTGCTTAGTTTGGCTTTTATGGAAGCTTTAACAATTTATGGGCTGGTTGTAGCATTGACACTTTTATTTGCGAATCCCTTTGTTTAATCTTAATAAGCATAAGAATTATGTATTTTTTTCTTAGTTTATGACTTGGGACTTACTCCTCGCTTTTTCGAATTATATCAAGATTTCACTCCTACAATTAATTATTCATTGGGACAATAATCCATGGGAAGATTAATTTGAGGATGAGGAATTATCACACTGACTCGCTTTCTTCCTTCCCCTTCTTAGTTCAAGAGAAACCTTTTTTATTATTTATGTTTAAATATGTTTAAAGGAGTGTTGCAACAAATAAGGTATTTTTCCATTGACATGAAACCTACCCCCTAATTCTAATAAGAATTATTATTATTGGAATTTTCAATTGAAAAAAATACATTTATAGGTTTATACATAGGTAAATGAAAATTGATAATAATCAATAATTTAATAATAAATATTATTAATAAATATTAAATAATTGATTATTATTAACAAAAAAAAAAGAAATACATAGAATTAGAATAATATAAATATGATAGAATAAATGGAAAAAGGTGTCAAAGTGATATAATACAAAAAAAAGAACTGAGTTCTTTTTTTTAGTCTATCTAAAATAATATAAGAGATCATATGAAAAATGTAACCGATTATTTTATTTCCTTGGGTTATTGGCCATTCGTCGGGAGTTTCGGGGTTAATACCAATATTTTAGCAACAAATCCAATAAATATAAGCGTAGTCCTTGGTTTATTGATCTTTTTTTGAAAGGGAGTGTGTGCAAGTTGTTTATTTCAAGAATAGGCTAGATTCACCCAGTTGTACTTTTTTTCATTATAACTAGGAAAGCAAAGTGTGCATGATCCCGCGAATGACTTCTGAATAATTTTTTAAAATCATATTTAAGAACCGTAGCATTTCGTGATTCATTGGTACATCGAATTTGATTCTCTATTAACCAATAATCTAGGACCATTAACATGGTTAGGGCCAAACCGTTTGAAGTTAAGATGCAGCAGGGTACTCTTTATACTATTTACTAAATACAGAAAGATTTTCAGAACAAAAATCTGTTTTCGATATAAAACACTCATGTCGATAAAACGATTTGAGCCCCTTTTTTCAATGTTGAATCGATGACCTATGTATAAAGGGATAAGAATTCTTTGAATTTGACGAAAAAAAGAAACAACTTTGCTGACAAATTACAGTTAGACATTATACAACTCTAAGTACAATTAGAAATTCTAAATAATATGTAAATTTTGTATTTATTATTTATTTATTATACTTTTTAGTTTTTTGATATATTTTCTATTTTGGTCAGAAAAATCCTCCGAATATTTTGGTCTTGGATTAGTAATTAGTTTCAATATTTTGGAATATGACTCGATATTTTAAAATATAACTAGAGAAGAGAGGGAGAGGGTAAGCTCATTCCATTTGAAAAAAAAAGATATGGGAATTAATTCCCAATAAATAAGAAATAATTGAGCGTGAGAGCCAAATGAATTGAAAGATTCATGTTTGGTTCGGGAAGGGATCATGGAATTTTAAAAAAATTGAATGTAAAGATAATCTACTTTCATTAAGTGATTTATTAGATAATCGAAAAGAGAGGATCTTGAATACTATTCGAATTTCAGAAGAACTATGTGAGGGGGCTATTGAATGGTTGGAAAAGGCCCGGGCCCGCTTGCGGAAAGTAAAAATGGAGGCGGATCAGTTTCGAGTGAATGGATACTCTGAGATAGAACGAAAAAAATTGAATTTGATTAATTGAACTTATAAAATTTTGGAACAATTAGAAAATTACAAAAATGAAACCAATTATTTTGAACAACAAAGAGCGATTAATCAAGTCCGACAACGGGTTTTACAATAAGCTTTACAAGGAGCTCTAGGAACTCTGAATAGTTCTTTAAGCAACGAGTTACATTTACATACCATTAGTGCTAATATTGGCTTGTTTGGGGTGATGAAAGAAATAACTGATTAGCCTTTTTTTACCTTTTACTTAGGGATTTTTTTTTCTTCCAAAAAATAATTAGGAAATAGTCATGGTAACTATTAGAGCCGAGGAAATTAGTAATATTATCCGTGAACGTATTGGGCAATATAATAGAGAAGTAAAGATTGTAAATACTGGTATTGTACTTTAAGTGGGCAACGACATCGCTCGTATTCATGGTCTTGATGAAGTAATGGCGGGTGAATTAGTATAATTTGAATAAGGTACAATAGGGATTGCCCTGACTTTGGAATCAAATAATGTTGGTGTTGTATTAATGGGTGTTGATGATACAAGAGGGAAGTTATGTAAAAGCAACATGAATAATTGCTCAGATACCAATGAGTTAAGCTTATTTGGGTCGTGTTATAAATGCCCTGGCTAATCCTATTGACGGTCGGGGTGAAATTTCAGCTTCTGAATCTCGGTTAATTGAATTTCTTGCCCTGGGTATTATTTCGAGACGTTCTATTTATGAGCCTTTTCAAATGGGACTTATTACTATTGATTCGATGATCTTATAGGACATGGTCAATGAGAATTAATTATTAGGGATAAACAAACCGGTAAAACAACAGTAGCCACGGATACCATTCTCATTCAGCAAGGGCAAAATATAATATATGTTTATGTAGCTATTGGTCAAAAAGCATGTTTTGTGGCTCAAGTAGTGACTACTTTCCAAGAAAGGGGAGCGATGGAGTACACTATTGTGGTAGCCGAAATGGAGGATTCCCCAACTACATTACAATACCTCGCTCCTTATACAGGAGCAGCTTTGGCTGAATATTTTATGAATCGTGAATTACACACCTTCATCATTTATGATGATCTTTACAAGCAAGCACAAGCTTATCCAGGAGATGTTTTTTTATTTGCATTCACGCCTTTTAGAAAGAGTCGTTAAATCAAGTTCTCAGTTAGGTGAAGGAAGTATGAATGCTTTATCAATAGTTGAGACCCAGTTCGGAGACGTTTCGGCGTATATTCCTACTAATGTTATTTCCATTACAGATGGAAAAATATTCTTATCTGTCGATATATTCAATACCGGAATCAGACCTGCTATTAATGTGGGGATTTTCGTCTCCATAGTAGGATTCGCGGCCCAAATTAAAGCTATGAAACAATTCACTTGTAAATTAAAATTGGAATTGGCCCAATTCGCTGAATTAGAAGCCTTTGCGCAATTTGCTCCTGATCTCGATAAATCTACTCAGAATCAATTGGCAGGAGGTCAACGATTACGTGAGTTGCTTAAACAATCCCAATCAGCCCCTCTTACGGTGGCAGAACAGATAAGTACTATTTATACCGGAACGAATGGTTATCTTGATTCATTAGAAATTGGACAAGTAAGGAAATTTCTCATTGAGTTACGTACTTACTTAAAAACGAATAAACCTTAGTTCCAAGAAATCATATATTCTACCAAGATATTCACTGAGGAAGCATAAACGCTTTTGAAAGATGCTATTCAGGAACAAATGGAACGTTTTCGACTTCAGGAACAATTATAAATAGAAAATTCTAACTTACTTAAATTTAAATAGAATTTTTTAATAAAATTCTAATTTTTAATAAAAATAGAAAAGAAATAATTAAATTAGAAATCTAATTTAATTATCTAATTATATAGATAATAATTTAGAATATTATAGATAATAATCTAATATATTATAATATACATAATATATTCTATATTCTATATAGAATATAGAAATCGATTCTAAATTGTGTCTAATAGGATTTGAACCTATACCAAAGGTTTAAAAGACCTCTTTCCTATCCATTAGACAATGGACGCTTTTCATTACGATTTTTTTACGTTTTGACTTTTTTTCTTTTGTTCGGTTTTTTCTTTTCTCTTGTTTAGAAAAACTAAAGAACATGTGAATTTTTTTTAGGAATTGCGTATTTATTAATTCAACGATGCATTCAAAACATCTATGTTAGCTTTTCTGTCTGAATGCATTCAAAAAATTCGCTTTCTAGATGATCCTTCTAGAATAGTGGGATTAGAATAGAACAAATTTTCTAGTTACTTCGTTCTATATTTCTATTTGATAAAATCCTTAGGAAAAACATTTTGTTTCCACCGAGCTAAAACAAGATGTAAATGTCTCTAGTAAACCAAAGCTATTTTGCTTCAATCTATCCTATCAAAAAAATTGAAGATTTAGTTACGATTAGAAATATACTTTTCTATCTTTATCCATAGATCTTTTCCTCGTACTTATTCAATTGGAAGTATTGATCCAATTCAAAAAAAAATATGTTTCGCAATTTCATAATCCAATTTTCAATTTTCATTTAAAATAAAATTCTAAAATTCTATAGAATATAATTTTAAATATAATTTAATTGGCCCTTGGATACAAATCACGAGAATGTATATTCTTCCTCAAAAATTTTCTTGAGAGGTAAAGGATTAAATCCTTTTAAGAAATAAAGTTTTTGCTCGGAATATGAATCAAATCGAGGGACCCCTTAACTCTTAAGGGGATTAATAGAACGAAACACACTTTTACCACTAAACTATACCCCCTACAATGCGATTATTGTATATAAAGGGACACTTTGTCGAACAGGGGAATTGGGCGTAATCAAGATAGGATTACAAGATAGGAGCATAAAAAATCCTGAAAGTTAGTGCCTTGTCGCCTTTTGTCAGAAGACTTGTGTTATAGGAGTTTTGATAGATAAGGTTCGACAAAAGGACTTAGTCATAACATAAAAATGGATTGTGCAAAAATACATAGTTTTTTTAGTATTTATTCTAGTCAAATAAATTATTTATTCTAGTGATTCTAGTGAAATAAATGGAAATAAAAAGAAATAGGAAGAAAAAAAAGAATAGAAAAAAATATTTGGATTCTATATCATAGGAACGGAAATAGGACTTCTTCTGCTTCTGATTGTTGATTCAATCCAATAGCAAGATTTTTTTAACAAGGTTTTTTTTGCAACAAGTCAGATCGTAGAATCATAGAAAAAATGAGTTATTTGAGATAAAAATAAAAAAATGAGCCCGGTCGGGTACTAACCAGGTCGGTCGTGGAAATTGGAAATAAAAAAAATCCCCTTTTGGTGAAATAAGAGCGATATTCTTTTTTTTGAGATATTTCTTTCTTTAGAGCCCTCTTTTATTTATATTTAAGAATATAAATGATACAAAATATAAATGAAATGGAATTACTTATAAAAGTTCTATATATCTATAGAAAAGTTGGATATATCTATATTCTATATAATCAATCTATATAATAATAATAATAAAATTAAGAATCTATATATTTATATATTAATAATATAATTATATATTAATAATAATCTATATAAATAAATAATAATTTATATAACCTATATAACAAAGTAAAAAAGGACTTTCTTCAATCATTTCTTTTTGCGTGTTGTAACATAGTAATTATCTTTTCTCAATTAGGAGAGAGGGATGAGTGTAATAAAGCGTCGGATTGCTAATCCGTTGTGCAAGTTATTCGTATGAGGGTTCGAATCCCTCTCTTTCCATTTCTATTTTTGGCAGTGGAATAGATCAAATCCTAATACCATTTCTAAAAAATGAAGCAAGGAACTCTCTCTTTTTTATTTTTATTCTTCGCGCCCAGGATTACGTCTCTGATCATTAGATAGAAATCTGAATATGAAGAGAGAAACGAAGAATATCACTACGGTGTAAACAAAGAGTTTAAGATTCTGCACAACACATAAGTTATGGTTGACATAATGGTACAACTAAGGATTCTGCATTTTGGAGCTCACGCATCACTTTAGCCTGTCGAAATACCCTTGGGTGCATGGGTGAGATATGGAAATGCATCAAAAACGTACACCCAACCCTTTGGATATATAGGTGAGATCCGGAGCTGCATAGTAAACGTACACCTTGCCAACTTACTCCGTCGAGTCTTAGAGCATTCGCGCCCAATTGGCATCTAAAGTGCCTCAACACTGACTAGTATATGCTTGGACATACTAACAAACAATACAATTGTCCTATTGCTAAAGTAACTCGGGTGTCTTGTATGTTTCTCGAGTGTCACACAAAAGCTAGTTTTATGACATCCTAGCTGTTATTATTTTTAGTTGTTACTGATTTAGCTGTTACTGAGTTATTATTGATCTTATTTGTTGCTCTCCCTAGTTTCTTTCTCGCTTGTTCTCTCATCTATAATGTTATACGAAGGTTTATTAGTCTATTACTACTAAAAGTCTATATTGGTCTGGTTGTTCGCAATTTAAGGGTATTTTAGTCATTCTAAAACTCCAGAGAAGTCTCTACACATTCAAGGACTTCACGATGATTTCCGTGTTTGTTGGTTACCGACTGTGATATTGGTCAGCCTGATATCTGACTCGATTTCATTTCTGTGTAGCGACACTCTATTTGCTATTACTATGTTTTCTTTCAATTTGCCCTCAAATTAAATGGTAATTGCATGTCTCACACTTTCGATCGTTCTTGCAGTAAACGAATATACTATTTCATAATTTGATTATTTGATCATACTGCTTACCAGTACACCATGTGTAAGGATCCCCATTCTATAGATGCCCACTACGTTCTCAACTGAAGATACTTTGATACATTACGCCCAATATGGTTACTCTGGTTGTAACCCGTTCCCATGAATGTCTCTGGTCCCTTTGGACATTTACGCCCATCACAGACTAAATTTTATCCTTAAGAACCATCCCTAGCTCTTACGAACCATAACTGGATCAAATTTGATCATCTGAGGTGGGTAGTATCGATACTCTATTTGTGGTATCGTTACTCTAGGGTCAAGTATCGATACTCATATGAGTATCGATAACGAAAATGCATTATGTTTCTAAAATAGGGGTTCAGTATCGATACTGTCACCCTGAGTATCGATTTTCTAGGGGTAGTAACGATACTCTCCTAGTAGTATCTATACTCCAAGCCAAAAATCCCTAATTTTTGCCCAAATTTATCCCGTATTGATACTCGAACTCTGAAATGGTTATTTTAGGCTCGAGAAAACATCTAAAATCACTCTAAAGGCTATAGTTTGATTATAAATCATGTACTAATGTTGTGGGTAGTTATTTAGGGTATTAAGTTGTCATAAAACACATGTTTTACAATAAATTCGTGATTTATGGCATGAACCAAATATGAAACCCTAAAATGCTCAAATACCAAATCTGAACAAATTATCGAAATATATGGAAGCTTAGTACTCCAAAGGATTAGAAATACACTACCTTGATTAAAGGATCCCAAAATGAAGCTTCTGTAGCTAGCAATCACTCTCATTTAGGCTTTAGATGATAAAACCCCTTTTTTTCTTATAAAAATTAAAACCAAAAGCTTAAATCTTCATAACGATGTTGTTGGGGGTACTCACTTTTGGCTTATGAAGCTTGAGAAGGAAGAAGTAAGAAATGGAATTAAAATGAAGAAAATAAAATGAGAGATACAAAGCTCTCATCCTTTAAAATGGGATAATTATGCTTTTGGTCTTTCCTTATTTTACTACCATTCAAAAAATATATTTTTATGACTAATTGGGCCCAATTCTAACCTAATAAAGCCCAATGACTTAATTTGTAAATACTGCAGGGTCCACTTATCTCTCGGGTAAACCCGAAACTACTTGCCCAAAATTTGAGGTATTACAATTAGAGCATGAAGATAATCTACTATACTCATCTAGGACAAAATCACAAAAGAGGATGTGCATGGATTTAACATTAAGTTGGACAAGCTTCATGACTTCACTTATCCATTTCTATCGATTCCTTATAAGAATGGGAACACCATCAACGATGGCATCCCAAACTGCAAGGTCGACGGCTTGGATGAACAAATTCATCCTATTCTTCTTATAGGAATAATTTGCTCTATTGAAGTAGGGTGGCCTAGTGATGAAGTGCAAATCCTCAAGATAGTACACGCCGGATATGAAAGTCATCTTATTTGTTGAAAAAAGAATTGATAGGGAGCTTCAAGGATCTTCACAAGGTTGTTAAACCATCAATTATGACTTACCCTTATACTAATTGTTTAGATGCTCTATCGATTAACCGAAAATGTGCTAAGATTGGGTGAATTGACCAATTGAAAATTTTTGCAGTGAAGAGAAAAGATAGGAGGAAATTTTACACAAGTATTTAGAATGGCTCAACTTCGTCAAATAAAGTCTACATCCACTAACTTAGCACCAAGCTAAAGATTTCTAACAAATTCAATAATTTGTTCTTTCTTTTTTATAGGCTCAAGAGTAACATTTTATAAATCCCTAGTTTTCAATGGCTAAACTAGAACCAAACATCTTTTACAAAAGGATAAAATAAATGTAAACAAGAAAACCTCGAAAAGGTAGGTGTTTACAAATTATGCTTACAAAAACACTCTATGTATAAGAGAAAAGGAAAAATAAGATTGAATGAGATTTTCTCTTGATGTGGATTGCTTGGATATGTATTGTAACCTTCTTCAAGTGTCCTCAACTTATTTTTATATTTTGGAATGAGTTTGTAAATATTTCTAGCCT